AGGTATCTTCTCTTCCAGCCCCATCTTAGTGCCGTAGAGTGCAGCTGAGGGCTGGTTGCGGAGGACAGGGATGCTATAAAGCCTTCATTCCCTTTTTGGTTTGTGTCCTTCCCCTGTATTCTTATCTTTGCAACCCCTTAACAGTTAAATCAAGATGATCAGCAATAAACCGGTGTTTGAGCTGATGTGTGACTTGGGAGACTGTTTTCTTCTCGTGGAGAGCCGAGGGCATGAAGCAGGATTTCCCTTTACATTAATTGCAATACAGTTTTGTCTGTGCATAACCGTGCACAAACTGATGTTTAGCAAAGGATGAGTTGTGAAAGGTAATCCTTTGCCGTGTGATCATTTCATTACCATTTGGTTCTATATAGCACAAGGCAATTGTCTGCTTTTGAGGAAAAGTTTGTGGGTTTTTTAGTGCTGAAGAAGCACCTGCAAGTCCTCCCCGCTGTGTTTTGACTGCAGAGCTGTCAGTGCTGGGGGCTGAACCTGAAAAGCATCAAGTCCCTCTCGCATTAGGGGAGGGCAGTGCGATGGAAACAAGTGAACTTGGCCTGGCACCCAGAGTTAATTTGCACTTTGAATCCAGCTATGGAAAAGGGATGCAGGGAAGGAAGCAAATTTTTCACAGTGTCAGACCGTGGTGACCTGCCCTGGGCAGGGGAACTCACCCAGTCTGCTGAGAGCGGGGCGGGTTGTGATCTGGATTCACGTTGTCCTCTTGTCTGCAGCTTTTGGGCACCTGTTACCTCCATGCATGGGGGAGAAGTTGTTTTTAGAAAACTCTTACCTACATTTAAAGGAAGCGAAAAGATGGGGAGAGTCCTTTTATCCTGCACCGTCCTCTCCAGGGCTATAGTACTGCAGTAGGCATTGCTTCTTCCCAGCGAGAAACACAGCAGAGGAGACGACCTTTCTTAAAATCAAGTTAAAACTTTCTCTTATCCTTCATCCTGCACTGTGAAAGAGCAAAACTGCAAGTGGGTAAGGGTGGAAGAGGGCATCCAAGCGTGGAGTGCAGTGGGGGAGGGCGAAATGCTGGCTCTAACGATGCTAAATTGCTGGGAAATAAATGGGATATTGTTGTAACGAGCATCTGATGGGAGGGAGCTTACCTGGCTCTTACCAAGTAGCGTTCAGAGTCGTAGCTCTGACCAAAGAGGGGCTGCAAATGGGTTTGAATCTGCCACGGAAACATGCTCTTGTGCTCTTTGCCTTTCCCAGCAGCACCGGCAGCAGTCCCCGCACGTCTTCAGAGCTGGGTCCCGGCACAGCGTAAGAGATCTGCAAAGCGCTTTGCCTCTGTTGCTGGGAGACAGTCGGAGGGAGCTGGGGCTGCTTGAACAAACACGCTTTTTTCCTCGCCTCCTCTCTTCCCTCCCTCCCCACCTTTTTTTTTGTTTGTTTGGTTTTTTTCCCTCTTGGTGACTGGTTATAGGAAAAGCTTGGCTGGAACCAAGTGATTCTTGCTCCAAATGATCCCATGAGACTAAAGAACCTCACAGGCTTCCAGATCCGCTGAAGTAAATGTCTTTTAGATAAAGATCCCAGACAGTAGGTACAAGAGCGGCTCCAGCTTAGAAATATACCTTGTAATGAAGCTAATTGACATAAGTCTTAAAAGCTTAATGCCCTTAAACTTCTGGAGCTTGAACTGAATTGACCTCAAGACCCAAATTCTGCAGCGAGCCCTCAGGGTTGTGGCAGTATCCCAGAAATCCTGCCGCAGCTCGGGTTCGGTGCCTGCTTATGGAAGTGAATAAAACAGTCAGTACCAAAGCCCTTGGTCTTATTTGGAAATGAGGCTTGTTTTGCACCATCCCTGTATTTCCCTCCAGTCTTGCGTGGCCTTTATGTACTGATGATACATAAGGGCACCATGAAATTTGAAGGCTTTGCTGGGGAGCATTTGCTGCTTCGGAGGGGCAAAAGCAGATAAGGCAGGGGGTTCTTGCCGAAATGGTGACTGGCAAACCTGTGCATCGTGAGACCTACGTTACCTCTGGGTTCCAGTCAGTAACCTCTGCTGAGAAATATGAGGCAATTAATACTTTTCAGTTATTTCACATTGTCTACAGGCTTGAGCAGAAGCTGCTGCATCGCTCACGTGTCCTTCAGGCTCCATCAGAGCTAGTGAGAAACGGAAAAGTTCTTTAAAACCGAGCCCGTGGAGAGGAACGGGGCTGATGGAGTGAAGGTGACTGCCACAAACGCCTCCAACAGAGGGAAACAGTTAAAAGGCATAATTAGGGTAGAAGAAAAACTCAGCATCACAAGGCAGACTTTAAATTCCATTTTTTCCTCTTAACTGGTTCCAGTTTAGCTGATCCCACACTTCTGTTGCTGATACTGCAGAGTTGCTGATTCACACAAAAGTCTTAGGTTAGCTGACAAAAAAACCCAACTTTTTCTTGCAGTTCTCAAAGCTGTATTTCTGGGGCTTCCTTATTCAGCCACAGTGAGTCTAAATAGCAAGATCAGATGACACGATGACTAGCCGTGTAATTTTTATCTGAAGCAATGGCTAGTGATGTAAGCAGCTGCAAAACGAACCACCCTGTCTGTGTTTGATTTTTGTCATTTAAGGGCTGCCTCTGTCCACTTGGAATCGGGATATTTTTGCCTTTTACGTGGCCTCATCCTTTTTTAGTGCATCCTTTTAAACTTGAGCTTAAAAGACAAAATCCCATTTCTTGTACAGATAGCTTGCAGTTTTTGATTAAAGTTCTGAACGACTTGTCTTCTGTAAGTAAAAGCTTTCATGTCCCAGGCTATCATATCGATTCTCCCTTGTCATTTTTATCCTCTGATGAAACAAGGGATCTGATCGCTCATCCTGCCACCCTGCTAGCGACTCTGTTAGCCCTTGTGTCAGCGTTTGATGGCGTCTGGCCTTTGTCTGAGACCCGCACGGCCCCGGCAGCCCGATGGAGAGCCCGGTGTTGGGGTCAGGTATCTCCCAGCTGTTTTAGCAAAGGCCACATTTGAGTTCTGGTTGTGTCCGGGGGCAGAAGAGCAATAAACGCTTTTGCCTTATGTACCACAGGGCAGCGTGCCGATGGCAGGACCCACGCATCCAGCGACTTCAAAACCCTTCCTTTAACTGAAATCTCTTTTTAGAACATACTTCACTTTTCTTCCATACATGTTTTGAATTCTGAATTCTGGTTATTGTTTTTTCAGGCTGGTCTTCAAAGCTCCCAGTAAACTAGCATTAACTGTATTTCAAGCCCAGTAGAAGTGCTGGTCCTCATGGTGTTCTAGGGCCAGAGGATCCGCATCCTTTAATGACTCTTCTATAGATCGCATGAATGCCTTCTCCCTGGTGAGATTTAATGCTACAAGTGCACTGCCTGTCTGTTCCCCACAAACAGGAAGGACTTTATTGGAGATCTGACTTGGCAGGAGCCTTTTAAGACTGTCTGGTTTTTTTTGTTTCACCAAAAAAAAACCCTCCCTAGTGGAGTTCGGCTTCAAGCTGCCATTGATTTTGATTAGAAGTCAAACTCCCGGCTCCCTGCAGTGTTTCCAGGAGTCCTGCTCGCCGGCCAGGCAGTTTTGGGAGCTCCTGCAGCTGCACCAAGCAAAGCATCGCACTGGGATGCAGGCAGTGCAAAGGCAGCTGGGGGATGAGGTCCAGGAAAACTTGGACTCCTTCCCCAAATCTGTCCTTAAAAGACCAGAAAAAAAAAAAAGTTGTGTAAGAGTTGAAGTTTCTTTCCCCCCCGCCCCTCTCTGTTGCCAGTCGATGTATCGGCTTTGCATTCAGCAGCAACCGCTCTGAAGTGCCTCGCAGGAATATTTTCTTGGGAGATTTCTGTTCAGGAATCTCTCACTGGGGGCTCTTTTTTAGTTTTTGGGGTTTTTTTGTTTTTTTTTTTTTTTAATTTTCTGCTCGATTATAGATTGAAGACTGGGGTAAGCAACCAGACCTGAGCCTCTTAAGTGTCTCATTGCTCTTTGGAAAATAGTGCGCTTTAGTGCTTTAGATTGTTGAAAATTCTGAATTGACTAACTGAGGTGCAATTTATCAGGTCTTTCATCTTAACAGAATTAACCTAGCAATTGTCACTGTCAGTCTTCCCTCTGCAGCATTGCATTAGAAAGCCTCGATTTACAAATTCTGCTCAAGAATTGTTTTTGAAAAGTTTCTATTCTCATTTAAGAAAGTAATCCTGTAGGTTCTATGGAAATTGCAACTTGCATTAATTTTTTTTTTTGTGGCAAATGCAGTCAACTCCTAAGTGGACTTGAAAAGACACCATCTCAGGCAGTAGTTTTTACCTTTTTTCATAATTGCATGAGGTTTGACTGTGAATCGCTTAAATTAGGGGATGAAATTGTCTTTAGCTCCCTCTCCTGGGTAGTTAAGGCATTTGCCCCCATGACGTTGCTGCTTTTGCAAACTTGATGTATTTTCAAACTCTTTCTAAGCATCTCTGCTCTCAGTGGAAGTGGTGAGGAGCACAGTGTCCATGCACAGGATTGGGAAATGTGATGGTTTAAAAAAAAAACCAAACCAAACCAAAAATGCCCAACAAAACCCAGACTGAGGTAAAGCCAAGTTTACGTTCTGCATGCTGTGAAAGAGTTAGTGAACTGCATTTCTTAGGCTTTGCTGCTGGTGAAGGTGGGGCTGCATGTTTGTACAGGGTGAGCTGAGGAGTTTGGGGTTCCCTTCCTTCTCCCTAATTTTATGCTCCAGAGGGATGGTTTTGTTGGAGCTGTTTATTTTCAGGCACTGGCAACTTGTGGAAGGGAAGGCTCTGTGGAGTCCCAACCTCTACGCATCCCTTCTGAGTCATCTATCCTTACAAAGACTTTTCCAGGCAAGGTGTTAAGGGTACCTTTTTTGGGTCAGAGGTATCTTAACATCCTTTCCTGGATTTCTTAGGCAGTCACGTGGCAGGTGAAATCCCGGGACTGCCTTTAACTTTTCCTGAGGCTTTATGAATAATGCAGCATGTGTTGTTGTTTGTTTTTTTTTTTATTTTCAGATTGAGAAAATCATGAGTTCCATCGGGGAAGGCATTGACTTTTCTCAGGAGCAGCAGAGGATCTCAGGTAGCGTACCCAGCTTGTGTGTGTCTGTCTTGGTTGCGCTCTGTACAAAAACAAGGTGCTGGCTCCTGCGTGCAGAGCTCTTTAACCTGCTTTGGCTCCCAGAAGGGAAAGGAAGGCTCTGGCACAGAAGGAGCAGACCTCAGCTTCCCAGCGTAATGCTCGATACTGCTACTGGTAATTTTAATTCAGTACTTCCCTAGGTAGATTCATTTAATTTTATATAATGCAGCTGTCCTTCCCTCCTAGCAGGCTTTTGGGGGAAATGGGCTGGGTGAAGAGCATTGCAGCTGGTACCCCCAGTCTGATGGGAAAGAGGGGGACCCTGACTACCCCAGTGTTGATTAATACTCACCCAGTGACAGCAGTGTGTGTGTGTAGGGGGTCTTGTTTCTTGTTGAAACTGCCTGTTTATAAATCTTGGGGCTTAGTATTACTGTTCGGGATATGGTAAATTTTGCAGTGATGTTGTACATCTTTGAATAGCTTTAAACAAAGGCTTATTGCTGACAATTGTGGAGTCTTTACTGGTGCTTTCCAATACCTGAAGTGACTTTTTATAGTCCTTCCCTTTAGGTGGAGATGAGAGTTGCTGGCTTGTGTGAGTGGTCTGGGACACTTCTTGTGCTCTTCTGCAAGCTTATGGCAGTAAAATGGGCTCTGGAGTGGGTGGCTTGTTGCCCCTGCTCGCACAGCCCAATAACGGCTGTGTTCTGATACTTAAAACTTCACAACTAGTCTTTGCTCAGTGTGTAGGAGGAAGATCAGGTTTTCTGCTCATACAAAAAAAAAAAATCTAATTTGCAGCTGAAAGATGGTATAAGGACTCCAGCCAGTATCCTAGGGACAGAAAGTTCTACTGATCTCCTGGCTCCTACAATTACTGTTGTTCTTGACATAGCCTCTGAGAAAGTTGAACCGATTGCTTACAGTTCGCTCCTGCCTTTCAGGATAAGTTTGTCTCAAGTTTCTGTTCTTCTCTGGTGGATAGCAACAAAATTTTCTTTAAGCAGTCAGTCTGAAACAGAGCCGCTGCATATTTGTCTTCTGGCTGGTCTCGCAATCCCCACAACAATCTTGCTTTTGTTTCAAATACATAATGCGATAGCAAGATGCTCTTTTTTCTGGCTTTTTTTCATTATGTAAGTGTGGGTCTGTCCTTTTGGAAATGAGCAGAACCTCTCTATAGCCCTCCACATTCTAGTATTTTATTCTGTAAGGCTCACAAAATCCTTTCAGCCCTGGGAGGAGAGGATGGGAATTTTGTATTTAGAGTTGTCCATCAGAGTGACTATAGCCAAGATATCAAATATCCTCGTTATCTCCATGGCAATTCACCCATCCTGGATGCACGTTCACTGCTGGGCACGTTTGGAAATAAAGCTGCTCTGTGGGCACGGTTGGGACAGTTTTCCTCTGGGTAAGACGGCAGCTGATGGGGAAGCACGGGCTTGGAGGGGCTGTCTGGCTACCAGTGGGATTCGGTGTACCTTTAGAGGCTGTTTGTATTTCACAGATTAAGAAATGTTTCCTGGGGACCAGGAACGTTTGAGCAAAGCCTGTAAGGGCCAGGTTTTAGCTTGATTGCAATAGAATAAGACGTAAAGAGCTGCTTCTGCCACCCAGCCTCTAAAACAAACCGTCCGGAGTAACTGGAGGGTTGCGGCGGTTTTCCAGCAGAAATACTGGTTTTCTGCAGCCCATAAAATGTTTTTGCCAGAATATTATAATGTTTCTTCTCCAACTTTCCACCTGTAAAACTCTAGATGCCCTGTCGTTGCTTCAAATCAGATAAAACTCATCACAATTTCTTTTTTCTATATATTTCACCTACGTACTTCTGTGACCTTGAAGTATGTAGTTTTATTAATTTTATAATAAAACTTCATAAATAGTGTCTGAGATGATTTAGTTGTGCATTTTGTCTTTGCTTTTTCCAATTTCCATAAAACAAGGTGAAGAAGGAATCGTAGTGTCATTTAGCACATTGATTTTCCTCAAACAGAGCAACGTCCTCCTCCAGCCATGTTTGCAACTATTATAACTCTTATCTCCGCAATGCAGCATCAGAGTGACGGGAGACGATCCTGGGTTAAAACACTCTCATTTCCATAAATGTTGTAAGTAGAGGCGGCTGCGGTGTGGGGGATAGCGAGCCCTGTGCCGAGTTTGTGTGCAGGATCCGGACTGGAGCAGCAGAGAGAACCAAGTCTCAGTTAAAAATCTTCCTCCATTGCTCCTGCAGTGACCTCATTGCATGCCTTGGCTCTGCACATCAAACAGGATCGTTCTGCCGTTTTACCAGCTTTTTCGCAATACTTTTTGTGCCTTCTTTTGAGGAAAGTAGATGTGAAGGGGAGGTGGAACAAATAGAGGAAGGAGGCTTTGATATTGGTGCAAATGTTCCTAGGCGTGTCTCCATACTGTTTGCAGAGTGGGGAAATAACCTAGCCCTTTCCCAGCTGACTCTCTCAACGCTTCTACATTTCCGAGCTGCTCGGGAGGTTTATTTTAATTCTTCTCTTCCTGGGATGCAGCTTCACTCTGGAAACCAGCAGTTTAAGGAACCTGTGCTCTCTGCTGCTGCTGGCAGAGCCGTGGGTCCTTGGGAGCCTTCAAAGGAGGAGATAATTGCTTGGCTTTAATGGTGCCTTTTGAAACGGAGTTGTTTGTAGTGAGACACAGCGTGCAGAGCTTGATTAAATGGATGCCGATGAACTCTGCTGTCTGGGGACCAAAGGTGCCTAAATATCATGTACTGCTCAAGGGGTTTAAAAAAATCTTCATCTTGAAATTGTTGTCGGAGGAAATGCTTTCTGATGGTGAGACCAGTTCAGCTGTGGCAGTGCTGTCCCCTGGATACTTCCTGACCCAACAGCCGGGAACGGTCCTGCCTGTCCAGGGACACGGCCTTTTCCCCATGCCCCTTGGATTTCTCTGGAGGGAGGATCGTCCTCCCCAGCCACTTCTGTGAGGGCAGCGGCTGTGCTGGGAGCAGGACTGGGGTGATGCCAGTTGCGGGTCAGCACGGGTGTCTTGGTGGCCGTGCCCTTTGGATGTGGTTAAGGCCACGTGCCTCAACTTGGGTGATGCGAGGCTGTTTGAGTATTCCCGTAGGTATCGATATCCACTAAACAAGGCTGCTTGCAGGACAGGTGCTTCCCACCCTATACTTGAAGCACGAATTCCCTTCTCTGCTTTTAAATCAGGAGCAAAGACAAAAGCAGAACTCAAGAGCTTGTTTTCCTTTACTGCAGCGTGATGGAGGATGCTGGAGAGCGTGAGGGATTCTGTCCTTTTAAATCCTTCACCTCCAAACTGCTGCATCTGAACTGCTTCGGGTGGGCAGCGTCTCCTCTTGATGAGATGCTAATATGTATCCGCACACGCAGCTCACACTTCTGTAATAAAGCTTATCTCGTATCCACTTGTCACCTGGATTTTAGCTTTGGTGAGGAGGAATCCACCATGCATTCCCAGTGAGAGTTTAACCTGTGCCTGCCCTAGATACTACGTACTGATTAGAGCTTATGTTTTCTAGGGTCAAATGCCTTTGCAGCAGGATGCGAAACGGTGTGTGGTTTTTGGTCTAATGCAACGGCGACTGTTTAACATCCTGCTTTGTGACAAGCCCTCCCCTCCCCGAGCCGGTCCGTAGCTGTAGCAGCGTCTGTGATGGATCGATATCGTTAGTGAAGAGGTCTAACATGGAGGGGAGAGGAGGAGCCAGCACTTCAGCAAAAGCTGCCATTGTGCAGGGAGTTTTCAGCAAAATGGACACCCATCTCTGGGAGCAGGCAGACCCAGGAGCTGCCTTGTCCTTAAGCCGGGTGTTTTCCTGCGGGCTGTGCTGTGTTACGCTCGGTTTGGGATCCCTCCTGTGCAGATCAGCTGCTCTACATGTTCCCTGTTTCTCCTTCCTTTCCTATAAGTGCAGCTAGCCAGAGAGCGGGCAGTGCTTTGCTGCAAGGATGAAGGCTGTCCTGAGGTGCATGCACATTTTTGTTTTCTGGCAGTGTTTAGCTTTTGGTCCTCAGGAGTTTGCTAGGGCTGTTTTAACGCTTCAGATCATATCCCAAATGTGCAGGGAGCTGCAGGGAACTTTCCAAATGCTCTCACGTCCTCAAAAATGGGTGGGCTTTGAGGATATTGGGGCTCCTGACTAGTTTTGTTTCTGGGATCACTAATTTGCCTGGAAAGGTAAAATGCCTTGCTTGGCAGTTGCTGCGGAGATAAGTATGTTTGGAGTCTGTTTATACAAGCAGTTATTACATACAACTGACTTGTGTCTAGGGAAAGCGGGGACCCTTGGAGCCACGCTGGAACAAGCCCAGGCCACGAGACACTTGGTTTCAGGCTTCCCTGCCATGGCCGAGACTTCCCAAATTTGGGCAAATAGCTGGTTTCTGTACCATCAAGCTTTCTTCCATAAAACAGAGTAACAAAACTTCCGTGTCTTGCCATGGTGTTACGGATGAGCGCATTAAAATTCTGAGGCCCCTGGATGATAAGACAATTAGATGCATCTTGGCATCTTTATAGAATTTGGAGCTAGAATCTATTTCTTGGCCAACAGGTTCAATCCTCTGATTTCCTGGTAGAGCTTGTAAGAAAATCTTCCAAATGTATTTCCCAAGGGTGGGAGGTATAGATGGGAGGAAAGGAGAAGTCTGTCACTGATCCGTGTTGCGGTAAGTCCTTTTCAGAGGTTGGGGAATCAAGGAACACCATCTTTTAGAGGGTAGCGGATTCCACCTAACCTTTGCTTTAAAGGATTTTTTTTTGGCCTGGGAACAGATGTTTGTGTTCAGTCTGTGTCTCTCTGCATGCATGTTTTGCAGTCACGCATTTATTTAGCTCCAGCAACCTTCTTCTGATCATCTCTTCCTTCCAGATGTGGGTCAGAGGGGTAGGGGAGTACACGTCTCGCAGCAGAAACGCAACCCCTCTGCACTGCAGCGTCTCATCTCACTGCTGGCTTTGAACAAGAAAGTGTGTTGCTCCCTGGGTTATGGTGATTTGTCAGGCAGCGTTTCTCTCCCCAAAAATAGAGATGAGTGGTCTCTGCTCAATAAATCAGCTTGATGCAGGCGGGAGGCATGCTGCACTGGACAGGGAATGCGTTTGGGGCTTGGTGAGTTAACTCTGCGGTTGACTTGAGACGTGAGGAACGCGCTTGGTGTTTTACTTGACAAAAGAGGGGGAAATTTGTTAGCAATCTGCGTTTGGCTAATTGATCTTAGTTCCAGTAAAGTCGGATGCTGGCTGTATTTCTTGCATCTGATAGCATTAGTGACTACATTCTCCTTGCCTATCCATCTTGCCTAATGCACTGCCTGAGTTTATAGCCCACTCAGTGGATTTAAGGACTTTCAGCTGGTGATCGTCCCCAGCTGTGGCAACAACTGCCTGATTTGCTTGTCTTGCATGCTCACTTTGTGTGTGGACAGTGCTTTCATCAACACTTGCTTGGACTTGCAGTTTTTTCTTCCCGGTGAAGCTTGGTTGTGTCTCCTCAGGCCACACCAGGTCATGTTAAACTGTTATCAGTTTCCGTGAGCAAACGGGGTTGATGCTTTTTGTCTGGCACGGCCCACGGACTTATTTCTTCCTCCAAACAGACTCAAACTTTGCACTAAAGGTCGTTACTGAAACAGTATCTTGCAAAAAGGACCTGAGCCCTGGTAGCCCTCTCCCTTTCCTGTTTTCTTTGAAGCATGCTGTGTTACTTGAAAAATGTCCTGCAAGAACTGAATTGCTTGGCTTGCTTTTTTTGCAACTTTTAAATACTCTAATTGTTTCTAACTACACTCTATTGACTGTTTTCCCCTTCTGCCACCTGCAGACCTTTTAAAGGTAGGATTCCTAAACTGTGGAGCGTAAGGAGAAGGATGGAGCTGAACATTAGGAGTTTGTTTCAATTAGAAGTTGTGATTGGGCTCTTGCAGGGGGGCACAGTGACTGGGATCCATTTGCTCCCATGTCATCCTCATAACGTGCAAATATCAAGTGTATTTTGGACTTCCTTGTTTTCAGTCTAGGATGTTTTGGGGCATCTGTTCTTTTTCTTTTTAAAGTAAACCCCTCCATTCCCCTCCCTCTGTTTTCTCTTGATTTGAAGTGGTTTTAAAAACAGAAAACCTGCACTCGGTGCCACTGTAGGTTTCCCCTTTAAAAGCAGAAATACATTTACAAGTGTACAAAAAGCTGAATAGAGTAAATAATTTTTTTAAAAATGAAATTCAGGAGCCCAGAGGAAGGAACTGCTGTGGTTTCATTCCCCCTGCCAATAGCCCGACTGCTTCCAGAAATGCTGTAGTAGGCAGCAAGCAGTTTCCTCACCTCTCTCTCTCGATAAATTAATTTTCAGCGAGCCACAAATCTCTTAAAGCAGACCTGTAACGTCATTTTTGAAAACCCAAGCTGTGTAGTCCATCATCGAGTAAATATTGAAAAGTCAGTAATTTCCACTAGAGAATTATAAAGCTGCTGTGTCTCCCTCCCCTCTCCTGCAGCTTCTGCTGCGAAGGCTGCTCGCTGCTTGTACAGTGGATGGAAAAGCTGGGAGGGGTAAGAGGATGAAGAGAAGGGAGGGACAGGCAATGTGAGAGCAGGAGACAGGACTGAGAGGGGAACGGCAAGCGTGGAGCTCGCTGCCTTCAGACAAAGCACGCCGCTGCAGCGCTCTGCAAGGACGCGCAATTGCCTGGTGAGGGGACACGGCTGCCTGGCTGCTGGCGGACCAGCCAGGATCGACGGAGGGGAAGGATGGAGACCCCGGGCGAGCGGGAGCTTGTTGCATAAATTCCAGGTTTAGATGCTGCCCTTCTGCACAGGCTGTGTTAGGGAGGGGAGACGGAAACCTTTTGTGATCTCTGCGTTTCTCGTGCTGCAGTGTGCACTAGAAAGACTGGCCAGCTCTCTCGAACTCACCGAGCGCGGCTCACCTGGCAGAGGAGCTCTCCCGTGGACCAGAGCAGCAGGATCCCTTACCCCAAGAATTTCCAGATAACACCGTGAGCCCTGTGTTGTGCAGTCATTGCAGCGGGCGGGGGTGGGAAGGATGGCTCGGAAGGTACCAAACAGCTTCAGCTGACCTGAAGGTTCAAAGAAAGCAAACCTGGTTTTCCTGATCATCTCTTCCTTTGCATATCCCCTTGAAACAGATGTGCTAAGCCGCCTGAAAAATTCTGCCTGTCTTGCATAGCAAATTCTCTGATGAAAAGGAGATGTCTGAACTTTTTTTTGTCATATTTAAGGTCTTAAGCGTTTCTAGAGGAGAGTAACAAGTCACTGGACTCTCTTCCCAGGGGTGAGGGAAAGGAGAGCTTGTCTGCACAGCTTCTGTAGGGTGTTGGGAAGAATCTCATTCATCAGAGCTGAGAGGAGGTGCCAGGGCATGTCTCGGACTTGAGCTGCTGCGGGAAGAGGAGAGAGCGTGCTTGCATTTGGTTTCTTTTTGTTTTGACGTGGTCTGGAAGCAAGGAACTAAAATGCCGCCTCCTCCAGAGCTGCTCCCGGTTTGAGTGAGGGGCTCGGATGCAGCAGCTGCGCTTAGCTGAAGAAAATGAAAGAAGGGCAAATACAACCATGCACCAAACACCTGGCAGGACTGAATGTATTGGGTGAAAACCGTACTGATTCCTCTGTCTGTCTTGCTGCCACCCAGTGCAGCGGTGTAGTTAGACTCTCCAGTGCAGCCAGCCCGGTCCGAGCAGCGTGCTGAAATGCCATGCGTCCGGATGGGTGGTAAAATGACAGTGCCAGGACTCTCAGACTCGTGCTCGGGGTCACTCACACCTCTGCTCCTTTTAACACCGTAACAGAGAGAAAAAGCCCTTACCATGGTTTGCCTGTTTCAGGACTGCTTGGGGAAAAAAAGTATAAGCCTTTCTTTTCTTCTGCTGCAGTTTGTGTGCTTTCTTTGTCTTGCATGTCTTCCTGTGGACAGCTGCTCTAGTCTGGCTTCTGCTGCTTTTCTGAAAGTCCGTCGTGTCTGTTTTGTGTCTCAGCTGCATGAAGATGTATTTTCTCTCTAGCCGCTTTGTGCCTCCGATGCGCCTGGCCCTCTCCGCTGGCCCGCTGAGCAGGGTGGTGCGTCCGAAGTTGCACGGACGAGAGGACCGGCACAGCTCTGGGCGTTTGTGAGCGGCTCCGCTCCATTCCCTCGCACCTACGACTGGCTGGGAATGCCTTGGGGGAAAGTTTGCTACCCTCCTCCCGCCCCCTTCAGACGAGCCAAGGAGTGGATCCGCATCCCCGTGGGGTTGGGCTTCATATGTTTGCCTGGCAAGAAACTCGCCTGAGCCCTGAAAGCAGTGCATGTGATGTCGTGGTCCCAGGAGTGCTTCTAAACAGTTTGCCCGGGCAAGGTGTTTCTTTTTCTGAGTGTTAACTGGGATACAAATTAAACCCGGAGCCCGTGGAGGCACTAGGAGCTTATTGTCCATGGTCTGTGCACACAAGAGGAATTGTCTGCCAGCTGATTTGTTGTACTCTGAGCATAATTTTTTGAGTTTCTTTATGGTAATGACTATGATGTGGCAATGCCATCTGTCTTCCTCAGAGTGCCGCTGCTACCGCCTTAACGGTTTTTCCCTTTTCAAGCGTCTGCCGATTCCTCTCTCGTCAGGTTCGCGGATGCTGGAGCAGAGTGTCGGGGAGTGGCTGGAGTCCATTGGCCTGCAGCAATATGAGAGTAAGCTGCTTTTGAACGGCTTTGATGATGTCCGCTTCCTGGTAAGTCGCTGGGTGGGACCCACGGGCTCTAACGAACGTGGTGGCCAAACCTTTACTTGTTGTCGATACCCCGTGCCAGCTGCAGAGCAGATCTGGGTTCTGCAGCCCAGCAGAACGGTCTTGGGGGTGCGTAGGGGGTTAGACAAAAGGAAGAAATGAGGGTTGTGTTGGGTCAGGGTCATTCGTCTTCACATTTAATTCACGTGTTATAGTTTTTTCACTATAATTTTGATACAAAACGTTATTTACTCTGCTCCCTAAATCTTTACTATCCAATTTACTCCAGAAATGGGATCTGAAATTCACTAGTGTGTTGGAGAAATCACTGAGCAGTCTGTGTTCTGGACTGTGAAGGAGGTGGTAAACCTCTTGTTGGAAGTATACTTCCTCTAAGCTTGCAGGCAGGACGTTAATGAGCTGTACTTAATTGCATTGACACTGTTGGCTCTGAAACCTAATGATGACAAGACGGTAATGCTTAATGTTGAGGGTTTCTTTTTTAAATAACCAGTGTCTAGAAACTTAAAGCTGCATGGTGTAAAAATCTGAGAATTCATACGGAACGATGAACTGCAAAGACGGAAAATCGTGGTGCTGTGGGAGGGTTCTTCCTGCATGGCTTAAAGAAATGCTTTTTGAGTGTGGACTCCCAAGTTTTGCAAATAAAGAATTTCCAAAAATGGATGTAAACCTTTGGAGAAGTCATTTGGGCTAATGTAATATCCCGCCTTGGAAAGGGAGTGGGGGCATCTCTTTGGTACTGTGGACGGTGCAGAGAGGTGACACCCAGGAGGATGTGCGCTTGACAGCTGTATTGTGAGGTGGGTGAAGGGGGTTTGGAGAACACAGCGGCCATCCGACAGTGGTGAGGGTACCTGGTGGGCAGCTGGAGAAAGAAGGGAAGACTGGATGGGGCAAGGATGGAGGGGCAAGGAAGTGCACATCGGAGCAGTGTCAGTAGGGGTACTTAAAGGCAGGATGTAATTACGCTTTTAAAAAATGACCTGACCAACAGAATAAATGTCCCTGTGAATGTCATGGGATCTCCAAGCACCCCTAAAAGTTGAATACTGTGGCAGTAGCCAGCCATACCTCCTGGCCTCCATGGCAAGCAGCTTAGCCCTTTGTCTCCCCTTAGCCTGGCAGGACCAACGCTCCCCTAAAGAGCTGGATTTTACTGCGGTTTATGCACCTTCAGTAGAGGAACTGCCGGCGACAGGCGCTAGTCTTACCACGCACCCTTCTGCCTCCACCGTATCCTGTTCCTACAGCTGTGTGTGGCACCTTCCCTCTTCCCTGGGGAGGGTTTGGGGCGAGCTGCCCCCGCAGAAGCCCCGGGCGAGGGGGCTCCAGCACCACCCGCAGCTGGGCAGGACCAGGGACAGCTCCCACCAGCCCTTCCCGGGGGGCTCCGGCCCCCCCAGTGTCCCATCCAGCTGGTCCCAGCCCTTCAGTGGACCCTCGGCCGCTGGGACCGCTGTGCTTCAGGCAGGTGCATTCAGCTCTGTGCAAGGTTTCAGCATCCCCGGGACGCTGAGGGTGGTCTGATTCAACTTCTGGGATGCTCTGGAGATGGTACAATGAATTTAAATTAAATAATACCCCATAGATCCCTGCTTGGGATCCTCTGCTGGTGGATCTTTGACCTTTGTGGTATCAGTGGGCTGCTCTCACTCCAAGAGTTAGCAGATGAAAATGCCTTTACTCTGACTGGCCCTGCCTGACAAGTGTGATGATAGACCTCTCTCAGCACAGAAGTTTAATAACAAAGGAAATTAACTTTCCACTTGTCCCCAGAGAGGTAGGAGCTGGAGGCTCGGAAGCAGGAATTTTTATTGATTGTGCTTATTTGCAGTACATGGCAACACTTTGTTGCAAACTGTCTGATGCAGAATTTTGTCATTTGTAAGATGAAAACAAAGGCTCCTTCTACATGTCTTATAGTTTGATTTTTGTGGTGTATGTGGTAGGAGTTGCTGGATCACGGCTGGACGTTCTTCTTCCCCATCCAGTGCTGGGTAGCCACCCCCAATGTAGGGAATCGGCTTCTGCTGGTTTCGGGAGGTGGGACACTTGCCTCACTCATTCCTCTCAATTTTAAAACGTCAATTTAACAAGGATTTCCTGCAAACCCTGTCTGATTTCCATTTTGCTGCTTATCCCTTTTACTAGGAAGTTGACTCTGGCACCCATACCAAGACTGGCTTTAAATCCTTTCATCCAAGTCCTGGGAACTTCAAACTAATACAGTCAGCCCCGTACGAATGTTTAATTATTAAGAATCTTTTCCTCTGTGATGTTACTTGCCTTCAGCTTCTGATGTGGGAGTAAAACTTTCAGATACAGTACAAATGAGGAACAAGTAGTTAATTTGGTTTTAGTAGCGATTTTGATGTTCTCAGATGAATTACTAAAGTTGTTGTAAATGCTGAAGCTGGCTAGTGCAGCAAGTACTGAAAGGACCTGGATGCGTGGTGCCTGGCATGGCAGGCTGTCCGTTCCTTTTCTTTTTTACATAACAATGTCTTTATTAACTGCTACTTTCAATCGCTAACGAAGAATATTTCAAACTAAGTGGCATTATTTTCCTGGAGTTAAATGGTTTCTGTGAAAGGATTAGTCCCTATTAGGGCCTCATTAGGTTAAATATTTCAAGGTCCAAAGAATGCTGAGTAATGGTTTGCAAATTGCCAGATGGGCTATGAGGCTAATTAAGTTTTAGTAGCAAAAATTAAGAAGTTGGAGTCTTTTGATACGGAAACGCTCTTGTTTTCAATGTAAGATTTCGCATTGCATTACTCCCTGCATATAGTGCTGCGGTTTTTTCGGTATGCCGAGGATGCTCCCTTTGCTGCCGGAGTCCCGGGGTGCCCGTTTGTGAGCAAACAAGAAGCTTGTACGTTGGGTAGGCAAGAAGAGCATTGTAAGAGCAAACTGGTAGATGTGTAGTGATAGTGCAGCTGTAAAACCAAGGCAGCGTCCTAGAAGAAGGACTCTTTAATATACTTATGAAGAATGCTCAGCCTGCAGTAAATAGTAACTTAAAGTGAGATTGAGAAAACAGTCTAACAAAGAGCAAATCCTGTAACTGCGGTGGGGACTGGGTGAAATCCAGTGTTTGGCACAGTGGCATTTGGTGCTGTTCTTCACTTAAGAAAAATAAGATGCTTAAAATGTATATCTACCCAATAGGCAGTACAGAGTTGGTAAGAGACAAAAACTGGAGGGTGCAGAAGCCTGTCTGGTGCTTTTTAGTGCTCTTGTAGCCCATAGTTTAGCCAGTTCTGGTTTCAGGAATTCCTGATTTCCTCTGTATTTTCAGTTGGCTCTTGCATTAATTTGCACCCCATATTATAAAAGCCCTTACCCCCTGGATAAGGGAAATGATTCATGAATGCACAGTATGGTAAAGGGATTTTGAAAAGTGCTCTGTAAATACATTGGGCTTCTTAATTAGATGCTAATCTAGGAAGGCAGAAACATGCATTGTTTCCGAGAATAATAATTCCGTTCTTTTCAGAAATCCAGAGATTTGTTATTAGGTGATTAGCTGTGCTCTCCGGACACGCGACCGGCCACCTCGCTGGTGATAGCTCTGTGCAAGCTGCATCTCCAGCAGCACCGAGGAGACCCAGGGAGCGGGGAGGGGGCAATAGTCCTGCTCCTCTCTCGGGGTCTGCTCGTACGCTTTAACAGACAGCATTGACAGCTGAAAGAGACTTTGGAGACCTGCAGTTTTCACAGGTTTACGTTGAGGCAGGGTTGGAGATGTAAACCATAATGTGAGCTGTGAACATTTTACTGGTTTTCCTAGAAAAAGAGAAGGTAAAAGTGTGTTTTAGCAGATAGCTGGGGTGGGCTGTGAATGACGAGCTGAGGCTTCTCTGCTCTTGGGAATTCCAGCTCTGCATCTGGGAGAAGGTTTTGGTAACTTAGAGCTGGGGGCCTCATGCTCTAGCAGGACCCCTTGCCCACAGCTTGGGAGATCAGCACTTCAGTTGTCAGCAAACTAAAAATTTCTGTTGCAGTTCAGGTCTGCTTTGGTAGGAGAGTGATGACTGCAGTCAGGACTGACCCTCCTCACGTGCGTGTGTCTCTACCAGCACCGTTTCTCTTTTGGGGGAATTCAGGACAAATACTAGAGTATTACTTGTAGTACCAGTTGGTTCTGAGTGGTGTCAGACAGGGCTTGTTGGGAATATTCTGACTTTTGGAACTTGCAGAGATTTTTGAGTGCTTGTGAATTGGTTATGGGGGAAGAACAAGTCGACACAACCATGGTGAGGAGAAGGGAATCACAAGTGTAACGCATAAATGCAATGACTGTCATCCTGCCTGGACACAGCTACTAGGTGTTCTAGGAACTGGAGCTGGGATGGGACGCTGCAGACGGGCTGAGTTTGCAGCACTGGCCTCACTGATGTGTTGCTTTTTTCCAGCCCTGGAAGCAGAGTTTCTTGATCAGTGTTTCCATGATGTAAAATTCTTGTTAAATCTGCAGAAGAAAACAAAATGCTGCAGCGGTTGATATGGCACATGCGAGCATCTCAGTGACGCTGACCCGTTTCACAGTCGAATGCAAAACCAAGGATGTTTATGACTAGTTCAGAGGAAAGGATCTTGATCAAGTACCGACTTCAGTCAGGGGTGGGTATTGCTAACACAAGTCAGCAGGATTATTTAAACATCAGTTTGACATGACGTTAAAGCTTGCTTGCCAGTGTACGTGTTTCTGGGAAGGGACTGAAGCCTACGTGTATTTCAGATTGTGTGTAATCTTTTGGCTTGGTTGAGGGAAGGAAGGGGTTATAAAAGATGGGTTTAAGTAGCTTAGTTTTCTAAAAGATTGAGTTCTCTTTCCAAATACTAACACCTGCATATTGGGCCACGTTTCTGTGTCTGGAGAAATTCTTATATTCCCTTTAAGTTGCTTACAATAGCTTTGTGGTGGTGTTTGTGTGCAGTGCTAGGAAAGACACTTTCCCTGATTTTCTTGGTGT